ATATGTACATTAATTGACAGTCACCACTGATAAGCTACCACTAAATATTGTAGAAACTTAATTTGCTGTAAAGTTGCTTTGCAATGATTTGTATCGTGAAAAGCGCTGTACAAATAAACTTGACTTGACTTGACTAGCTAATGGCGATTCAATTGCCAAGGTGTCCGTAGAGGGTTGAATCTGCTGTCATATGTGTATATACTCAACACTGCATATTATGACTATTCTGTCTTTTCAACAGACAGAAAGTTTCTGTGAAAGAAAACACAGCAGAGAGAAAGATGGCTCAGTTAAAATGAAAATGAGTGCCAACTGAAAATGCTGTGTTGGCCTAAAAATGCAAGCCAGAAAACATCTGCAAAACTCGTTATGTCACTTCTCGTCTATATTCAAAGTAGGTTTCCCACTCATCTGTAAATCTCACTTCATAAACAGGTTGGTCTTCCACAAAACGGAATGATTTCGCAACTTTGAAAGTGAAGGCTTTATAGGAAAATTCTAAAGCGAGCAAAACCGTTTCACAGTGATACTAAACCTCTGCAAGAGGAAGATAGGCGCATCACGTGACCGCTTATTTGAGTATGGTTTTAAAAAAAGGCATATATCATATTTCTTATATGATTCAGATTGCCATTTTACTGATATTGATGTTTTAGCTTCAATGCGACCAAAACTCTGCCCTACTTACACATTTCATTCCCCAGGCACAAACAATTAAATGCCAACTCAGGTATATGCCAGAGATACTTGCATGAACATGATCCTATGCTTGAGAAAGCCTCTGACATGCTTTGATGCACTGATCTCTGTAACATCAGCTCACTTTAATCAAACACTGATGCATACGGACTGTAGGTAATTGGGTTTGAGTATTAGGAGACTATGGCCAATACTGGCCACAGTGTCAGGACACACTGGGCAAAGGTCATGCCCAGAGAAAGAACAATCTGAATGGAAACAAATCAGCAGATTTAATGTACTACTTAATGTCCTGCAGCCTCCTCCTCATACAGGACATCTGATTCAATAAACTCAAAGTAAACGACTTCCTCCGCATTGTACTGCAGTTACAAAACCACATACACAGTACTCGTCAAGCTTTTTGTGCGTCACACTGAAGTATGCATTCATTTGTATTACAGCATAACTATCTGCATCCTCTTCCAAAGGGTTGTGATTCATTTGAATAAATTTTCTGTAAACCAGGGGCGAACGAACACACCCACCCTGGGAGCTCTTCCAAGTGATCATTTGGGTGGATGTCTTAATTCCCGAATCTGCAGAATGCTGCTAATGATGTGGATAAATAACTTCATGTCACTGTTAAACTGTTGCTCTTGCAGTATCAGATAGCTGCTGAGAACAGGCCATCCTTGAAACGCCAGGCATCCGTGTGTGTCTGGTGGAACCAAGAAGCACAAGATAAGATAAACTTGGCCAACCCGACCCAAAAATGGTGGCCACAGACGTCTTTTCTTTTCAGGAGCAAGTCACCGCTTTAAAATGTTTGTGAAGACTTTTTCTTAAACTAAGCATGACATTTTGGCATGTAACTCATTCAGCACTGTTTGTACTACACTTGATCTACTTTAGATCAAGATTCATATCATTATTTCTTCTTGTACCTACAGTGTGAAAAGGCATATTCACACAGCGCAAAATTCGATGACCAAAGGAAATAAAGTTGCTCTTTTATTTCACATTGTACTGGGAGCTTTATTAGCATTGTTGCATGTCTCTCGGTGTGAAGGGACTGCAGGAAATCGATCCAAGATCTTTATTAAAATAAAATACCAGCTGTGCTTTTGAAGTGCTGCTTGTTGACTGATCACTGCTCCAAAGCAGTCAGAATTATGATTGTTTTATACATAATTTAGCATCCTCAGAGGACTTGTGGAGAAGATTTATCAAGCTCCTAAAAAGATAATGCCATAAAAGCATGCATGCAACAATTGTTAGAAAATCTTTTGTTTAAAAGCTAGATAGCAGAAAACAGAAGGACCCAATAACTCAATATGTCAACAGGAACAAAATGTTGGATTGATGTCGTCATAAGCAGAGCTATGAAACATGCCATGTTCAAAGACAAAGTTTTAGATAAAAGGTTCAGGGCTTAGGTCACAGGTTCCAGGGTGGAGACGCTTCCTTTTGTGTGGCGTACATCAGCCTCTGTGAACATTCATGACACTATCGGTCTCGGATACAGAGACACAGATATGGCAGCCAAAGATTCTGAAGAATGGCCTCTCCTATCAGCACAGCTGCAGAAAAGGGAAGCATATAATCAAGTGAAGAGAGGGCTCTTGACTTCTTTTCACTGCATCCTTTGTCAAGGCCTTAGCAACTCTTCGCTAAATAACGAACGGCTGATTACAGAGATTCCAGCATAATTCAGGCACAGCCATACGAATGTGTGGAAATAATTTAAAATGTAATGGAGCTCTAAACAAGCATTCAAAAGATAACTCACAACCCATTATCTTTGTAATATGAAAAGGCTTGGTCAGCAGATCATACCTTGCATACTTCCTGTTTAATAAAATTTTTCATTGATTAGTTCCAAACCTGCTCTGGAAGATGTGCGGGCCAATGATTCCAGTGTAATTAAATGTTTTTGACCCAAATTCTTCAAAAACAAAAAAGTATGTGACCGCAAACATAAAAAAAAAAAAAGAGACAAACTTATTGAATATAGATATCGCTAAACTTCATAAGCCATGAAAAGCACACTTGTATGATACATTTATTTTTTAAAATGATCAATTTCATATTTTATAAAACAGAATAGGGGCAATAGTCTGGAACCACAAATATTGTTTTTTTTTTTCCTTCACACATATCCAGACATAAATAACTAAAAATAAAATTCCATACTGCATAGAAACATGCAAATGTGTGAAAAAAATATTTAAAATGGTATTTGATTTGACTAACATCTTTTGAATAACTACCAGTCTCCACACAAATGATCATCATTAATACTAAATAAATAAATAAATAAATAGTTTGTCCTTTAAATACTTTCACTCAGCAAGGATGCATTCAATTTAAAGTGGGAATAAAGACATGTATCATTTTACAAAACATTTCTGTTTCAATTAAATGTTCTGTTGTACTTTTGAACTCTCTATTCATTTTCAAAATTAATA